TTGTGTCATCAGCTCAGGACTGGATGACCTCATCTGTATCTGGGACCGCAGCACTGGAATCAAGCTGTACTCAATACAGCAGGTACTGTGCTTGCATTTTAATCTCAGTCTCCTTCACGTCTTCATTTCTTTAACCCTCTAAAGCCTAACCTGGTGTCAGACAGGTGTTTTGCAATTATTATTTTTTTCATAAGTGTAATTCCCTGTAACTCCAAAATTCCAACAGTTCCTAAAAGCAGTGGCTCTGCGCTTTTCAGTGACGATACGGTAATCCCAGGTATAGTGTTCCAGCAGCCATTCTGTCTGTGTGTGTGTGTGTGTGTGGCCAAGAATTGGATGTGGCACCCTGCCTGGAATTACCGTAATGACTCTAATATTAATATAGATATAGAACTAGAGATATATAGAGAGAGAGATATATAGATAGATAGATAGAGATATCTATATCTGATTCAGATATCACACTGTAAATATGATGGAAGGGTTTAGCTCCCTTTAAGCCAACTGTCTCCTGTTTGCATACCCAACTGGCCATATTCAGCTGTGTCTCTATATCTGACAGAGACTAAAGAAACTCTATAGAAATATATCAATCAATCAATAGAAATTCTATAGTGTTGCAGCAGCCATGCAAAGATGAAGAGTGTGTGTGATGGAGCGCTACAGAAATGTACAAATTTACAGACTTTTTACTCTGTGTGTGTGTGTGTGTGTGTGTGTGTGTGTGTTTGTGTTGCCAAGAATTGGATGTGGCACCCTGCCTGGAATTACCGTAATGACCCTAATATATATATCCTTTTTTTTTTTTTTTTTTTAAAAAAGGACAATTGATGCTTACAAGAATTGTTGGAACTGGAAAGCACCGATTCTGCTGTTGAGCTTTCTCTCGTGCTGATTCAGAATTCAGATATCACGCTGTAAATATGATGGAAGGGTTTAGCTACCTTTTAACTGTCTCCTGTTTGCATACCCAACTGGCCATATTCAGTGTGATAGTACTCGGCTGTGTCTCTATATCTGACAGAGACTAAAGAAACTCTCCTTAGTCATCACAAAAAGCTTTCTAAAAATGTCCTGATTTCTAATCCTTTACATGATAAGTTTAATTTCTCAAGAATACAAACAGTAGTTGGAGCCCTTAAAATGCATTACACATCAGTCTGTTATCAGCTTCTCTTTTCTTCCCACCAGGAGGTGGGTTGCGGGGCCAGTCTGGGTGTGATCTCAGAGTCTCTGCTGGTGACGGGGGGGCAGGGCTGCGTCTCCTTCTGGGACCTGAATTTCGGCGACCTGCTGCAGACGGTGTACCTGGGTCAGAGTAGCGACGGTCAGGGTGTCCGGCAGCTGCTGGTGCTGGACAACGCCGCCATCGTTTGCGATTTTGGCAGCGAGCTCAGCTTGGTCTACGTTCCCTCCGTGTTGGAGAAACTGGACTGAGAAGGGCTGGCAGCTATCAGTGGGAACAGTCAAAGCATCCAGTTTTTGCTTTGTTTCGTTGCTTCTGGCGTTTGGATGATGTGCGATCATTAGATATAAGACTATCTGTTTTAACAGGGAGGTGTTTTAAAGTCTGGATATCATGAGGAAAAACTGGCCGTTGAACCTACTGCGTTTTATCAGAGCCATCTTGCTGACGTTACGGAAGGTCACGAGTTTGGTTAAGGTTGGATTTTTCTCACTTGAAGGGAGCCCGCCAGTTCTGAGTTTGTGCTTTTTGTGCACGCACATTTGTTTTTGCAGATCTGCCCTCTATGCTGCTCACACAGGGCGGGGGGAGGCTTGTGACCCCACCCACCCAGAGAGGAGGACCATAGAGCTCCTCTTTTTTGTTTTGTTTTGTTTTCTTTCTTTTTAATATTCCTGCTGTGCCGTGCGCTCAACAGCGAAGTGCAGCCGCAGAGAGCTCGACAGGTCCATCGCCTGCGGGGATGAATTGAGCGTGTGTGAGAGAAAGATTGATTGAATGAGTTTAGACCCTTTTTTATAGTAAAACTGCTGAGAACAAAAGTTGATTGGTTATGTGTGAAGTGTGCGTTTGTGTGAGGGAGAACCAATGATTACTGTATAAAGTAAACCTCCAGAGGGGGCTGTTTTTATGTCTACATTTATTATTTATTAGCGATACTTTTTTTTTTTTTCCCTTTTTGAGTAACAGTTTGTATATGAATGACTAATCACAGCTCTTAAATAAGACCATAATAATGTGGAAAAGGTGACTTAAATGTAAGAAGGTGTTTATTTGTTTGGCAGCACTGGGCTTTTGGTTGTTTGTAGCAGTGAGGTGGAAACACATGTGTGTTTGTAGATTTGGAGGCCGCAGGGAGGCAGAAAGGGTTCCTCCTTTACCCCAACCTCGGCCTCTGACTCTGGGGTTACTGATGCTGTATGAGGAGCTGCTTTTCCCCAGTGCGTTACACCTTCATCAGGCTACCTCCATTTTTCAAATAGCTTGAATTTTGGATGACTGATGTTGCATTTTTTAAAAATATATTTTGTGCTTTAGAGATTTTTTTTTTTTTTATCACCGTTTAGCCATAACTTGGTCACCTGATATCATTTTTAATCCACGATCTTTAATTCAAGCCACAAAGGGTGACAAAACCTTGTCGACTACTTGGATCACGTTAGATATACTGTGTGTATATTTTTAGTTTTTGGTATGTTGTTGATGCACGCTTAAGCAGAGTTTGTCCTGAAACCTGTTCTTTTTTTCAGCGACCAGGTGGTAAAAATGTGAAGGAAGGTAACAGCGAATGCATCCTGTCCCTAATCTTGCATAATACTAGTACATTTTAAAACAGTTTGCAGTATTGATGTTGGATTTTTCACATCAGGAATGGGATTGATATATAACCTTTTGAAAATTTGGACCTGACACATGTGACACACTGTTCAGATAATCTTTTCCTGAAACACACACAGTATTATATCACACATCTTTTTAATTGGACTAAAAAGGAAATGTCAATAGTATTTTCAGTCAGTTTTTCCACTATTAGTCATACGGTTGCTCTCTGTCAGGTATGAATGTTTTCACAAACACTTGCTAGACGCCTTAAGAAACCAGACAAAAGCATGTCAATCATTGTTTTGTAGCGTGTATAATATGAAGCTTCTGTCTGAACATCGAGTAAAGAGCCTGTTGTCTCAATTTGTAGCTTCAAAGAAGTCTGAGTGGGTGGGCAGCAGAACTATTTTACCTATCCTGTTAAGATACAACTCTGGCTCATTAACTAGTTTCAGTTATGTTTAATCATAATAATCAACTACTACTACTCCATTTTTCACTTTTATTCAGCTGAACAGGAATAGCGGTTTGACAACCAGTGTGATTTAAAATGTAGTTGAATTCAGTTTCCACTTGCAGAAGTAGCAGCTTTCTACATTCGTTTGATTCCCTGTAGAGTGTTTAAACAATGACACATGATAGATAGTTGTTGGTTATGGAGAAACTTGAAGGTAAAAAATTAAAACGTTTTTAGGTCCCAAAAGTCTGAACTTTTGTACTTATTCTGCACACCGGGTGAAAATCCTGTCAATACTGAAACTGTTAAATTCTTAAACTCAACAAGCCAAGTATTTATGATAGCAATGCATTTTTCAACATTTTAACCCGCTCGTTTTTGAGTCGGTGTCTGAACTTCACCTTTTTACTCTGGGTAGAAAGAATGCAATCCTGCAGGTTAAAGATTTTTCTCTGACGCCAACAACATCCACGATGTCCAGAATGTATTTTCTCCCAGTCGTCACCTGTTGTTTCAATCTGTATCTCCTGAATGTCGTCTCAGAAAATCCGTTAAGACCTGCACCTGATCCCTGCGGTCACAACACTAACTCCTTTCATCTCTAACCCTCTCTGATGTACAAGCTCACACACATTTTTAGGCACTTTGTTTTTGCAATTTCAGCTTGTATGCAGGAGAGTCGGATGTAACTGGACTTAAAGTTCACACCTGCAGCGCTGTTAAGCACGCACGTGACATAAAGACTGCAGCGCTTGATCCTCTCAGATGCAGCGACCAGTTTCTTTTCCAGAAACAAGCAGATGATTATCGTATGATTTATTTTTTATTTTTTTATTTTTCCAACTGTAGCATCAGTATTCACATTTCAACTTCTGAGACGAATGGCACCTCCATCACAGAGGCCAGTGATGTGATCTTGCTGCTGTGGCTGTTGATTTATTAGCTTTGTGGTTTTTGTTTAGTTGAAAGCTTTAGAAACGGGGAATGTTTTGTTTTTTTTAGATTTCAGTTTCACGTGTTTTCTAGAAATGTGAATTAAAGCTCGAGTTTGATATTTTGGGAACTTGTATTTGCTTTCTTGCAGAGTTAAATACTGACGAATGTACACAGTGACTGTGTTAGCAACTCCAGTTAACTCTGATTTTAATTCCTTGCCCTCTATATTCAAAGAAATTGTCAGAGCTAAAACAGCCGTTTTATCATTGTGCTATTCGGTGATCACAGGAGCTCTATGACGAGGACATTTTATAGTGTTGTATATCTTACATTTCTAAAACAGGTGAGAAATCGCCAAGTGTAGTGTTGCAGGCACAGTTCCTCAGAAATGTGACCCTGATTCTGTCATGCTTTAGTTTATCTGCACATAAAAATGGACATGGACAGTTTCCTTTAACAGTGTTTACTAAATATCAAAGTCAAAAGGTCGAGAAATTACATATATAAAGACAAGAACTTGTGCCGTGTTACTGAAACGAAAACTTTGTGGCAGCATCAGTTTCCTCTGCCAGTAAGCGCGTACACACATTTTCCAAAATGTCAAACTATTCCTTTAAAGTTGAAGGATGGGAAGGTGGGTTGGTTTTGATTGAGTTGAGTCACTGCTTTTTCTGAATGTTTCTGTTTATAAAGATGAACTATGCCTTTAATTTTAGATCGCTTCATACCTTTCCGTCTCGTTGCAGCCGTCACGGCACCATATCAAGAGTTTGTGGATGCAGCAGCGACCTTTTTAATCATTTAGGTTAAAATAAATCTTTAGCTGCATCCTCACAATGAATGGCAGAGATGTTGTGGGTCTTGTTTGATCCTCCAGCTGCAAATACAAATCAGTGTAACATTTCTTACTTCATTTTTTTGTTTAGATTGCTGTAAAAAGCATCGCAGCACATAAACAAATGTAATCCCCAGGTGTTTTCCTCCCCCCTCACCCACTCCAGCCTTCTCCCCTCTTTGGCTGGCTACAATCTACGCAGGCTGTAGTAACTTGTTTACTATTTTGTAACAGCGCAAAACTTTGTACTAATTTTCAAATAAAGAGGCTTTGATACCACAAAGGTTGACTGTCTACTGGATTTATTTCAGATTTTACAATAATGAATGATTAGTGATCTTTTTTTTTTAATTCCAGAAGGACAATTTTTGTAATATTCTAGGTTTAAGATATTTACAGTGTTACAAAGAAAAATAATCAACTTGTTAAGACGTGCTGATTTGTATGCTGCTCTGTTAACATAAAAACTGAACTGTACGCACTGATTGAGTTGGGAGTGCCTCCACATGTCTGCAACTTCATCCTTTATTCCAGCCATTCAATAATCACAGAGCGGCCAAGCGATGTCGCACCCTTGGCGATGCTTTGATGACCAACAGTGAGGCTCCTGTGAAAGTGGAGTGCATGCTGGGATTTCTTTTTTTTTTGGATGAGCGCAGGTTTGGTGCTGGAAGAGCAGACATGCTTCCATCCACCACACACGTAAAAAGAAAAGCAGCAAAGAGCGGCAAAGAATGAAGGAATACCAACGAGTGCATAGTGTTCTGGTCCCAGAAGCCATCAGTGATTGAAGGAGAAGCAAGTGTTTTTAGTTTCAAGCCTCACACCCCTAAAGCAGTGCAAGTACACCTTTCAATCTTCAAAACTGAACCCTTACAATCTGCCACTAGGCACATCTTGGTAATCAACCACTAAAAATATCTCCAAGCCAATTTGTTTAGTTTTTTTTCCTTCTTTTTAAAGCAGGATTAGAAAGCGCTACAGGCCATCACTGACACCTGGTGGTAAAGTGGGTGAAAGGCAGAAATCTATAGTTTCATCTCAACGCTTGCTGAGGCTCCAGAGGGGATCCAGGCTACTGAGCGGGTCGTCTCCTTCGTCCACTCGAGTTCCGTGGAGACCCTGGCCTTCTGCCGGCTGCAGAAAGCTTTGTTTTGTCACCCGCTGTTTCCCTCGACCCACCCCGTCCATGGAGAAGGCTTCAGGCGTCAGCGAGGCCAGGAGCTCCAGAGATGAAGGAACCGGTGCAGAGGAAGCAGGAGGAACACTGGGTGGAGCCTCTGGGACTGGCTGATGGTTGGGTGCTGGCAGAGAAGAAGGGGAAACGGCATCTAGCCCGTTGGGTGGTGGAGGAGAGGCAGTGGGGGAAGTGAGAGGCGGGCTTAAGGAGGATGGGGGCTGTGGATCTGTAGCAGGACAGAGATCCTGGAGCTGCTGGATGTCCCCCAGTGAGTCAAGAGCAGGTAAGAGAGGGCCGACCTGCTCCTCAGCCTCCATGCCTGCATCCGTGGTACTTGGAGGCCGGATGCTTAGTTTAGCGATGGTGGCTTGAATGGAGCTGATGGGCATGTCACCGCCGAGGACAATATCCTGCTGAGATTCCTGTCTCGGGTAAGGCTTCAGAAAAAGAGAGAGAGGTGTTTAAGAAACACAAATGAAAGAAGTGATGCAGAGAAAAAAAACAAATAGCTTCAGTACCTCAACTAACCAGAACTCACAATTCCTTGGGAACAATCAGGAGTGCAAAAATGTAAACAATTAGAGGGTTACAGTCAGATTCAAGTTGTGCAATTAGATGTGAGATGCTAGCGATTTGTTTTAAGAACCATTTCAGAAGTCCATGTCTAGAAATCTACAATAGAGGTGAGTAAAGTTTTGACTGCATAGCTCACAGCACTGAACAAAATTGGCTCCAGTAAATATATGTATGTGACATTCTGTCACCTACAAGCTGCGTGGCTATGGTTTTTCAAAGGATTATTAATCAGCAGCAACATATCTTTCCCTTTATGGTGCTTTGTGAGCCACTAACCAGTTGAACTTATTTGGAAGGACAGTATAAGAAGAGTGACAAACCTTTGTGGCTGCAGAGTTGGTGTTCTTGCTGCAGGTGGCGGTCGTGATGCCGTGGCGTTGTAGAACCTGTTCGGCGTGCTTCAAAACAGCCTCGTAGCAAAACTTCAGGTGGAGCTGGAGGCAGACCGAAAGATGATATAAAGTGTGTACTATATGAAGAGCTATTCATCAGCAGTGCCTGATTCATGATGTACTTTGTCAGCATAGTCACATATTTCTACATTTAGGATTTTTGAGCAGCACTTTGCAAAGTGTTCTGTGCGACTGTTCATTTATCTCATAATGCTTAATTAAAATTTAGGTTTTAAACTCCTTGAAATGTACAATCAGCTTTTTCTGTTGTCTATATGTACATTTTTGCATGTTGCAGCTTTAAACCTACGACAACAAAGATCAATCCTAAACACAACATCAGAGTCCCATC